TCATCTCTTTGGGGTTACCTAGGAGTGGACCTGCAGGGTCATATGGTTATTCTATGTCTGACTTTTTGAGGAACTGTCAAGCTGTTTTGCACAGTGGCTGAACCGTTTTACATTTCCATCAACAACAGCATTCAAGGGATCTGATTTCCCCACAACCTTACCAACATTATTTCCCATTATCATCATCATTACTATTATTGCCATCCTAGTGAAAGTAAAGCAGTATCTTGTGGTTTTGATTTGCATTTCTCTAACGATTAATGATGTTGGAGGTGTTTTCATGTGCTTATTGGCCTTTTGTAGATGTTATTTGGAGAAATGTTTATTCAAGCCAGTTTTTTGGGTTGGGTTGCTTTTTTGTTCTGGGTTGTAAGAGTTCTCTTATATTCTGGATACTAGATTCTTTTCATATATATGATTTACAAATCTTCGCACATTTTGCTTTCCCTTATGCCATTCTTTTAGATATGAAGGCATTAGTGAAATAAGCCTTCCATGAAACTCCATATCTCCAAAATGAAAATGTATCCATAGTAAACCTCAAAATCAAAAATTAAAGGGGGTTCAGTAAAACAATGGAGTAAGGAGGGGGGATGAGAGAGAACTATGTCAATAGTTTATAAGGACAAATCAGAAGAAATATAATTGAAAATATGGAAATTACTTTTCTGGAAGTCAGTATATCAATTACAAGAAAAATAAGGAGGGTGAAAAATTAAAAATTTTAAAGCAAGGACAATTTTTTCACAAATTTATGAACATTTTTATTTTTAGATGAGGTTAGGTAATCAGAAGACAAAATTAAAATAAATGTAAATTAACACATTTGTTTGGGTTTTAACAAAAACACTAATTTAAAAGAACTTTTGGTAAACCAAATGCCAAATTTTCAATACTATTTCTATTTACGAGAGAAGAGGAGAAAAAGATGAATGAACCTAGTGAAAGCCATTCTTCTTAAACAGACTGCTGATGGGTGTGCAGATGGTAAGAACCTTCTGCTCTTGCTGAAACTTGCAGAAAAACGCTGTAGATCTTGCAGCTTTTAGAACTGCCAGCCAAATGAAATATGATTACCTCCATCTGATTTGTATCAACTCTAGTTAGTAAAGTCGTCAGTAATCATTTCTTTAGTTACATGACTTGCTATTTGTACTAGTGAAGATGTGTCAGAAGTTTGCTTTTAAATCAATTGGATTTTATTTATATATATATATACCTATATATACACACACACAGGCACATACTGAAAGGTAAAATAACTTGAAAATACACTTTTTCAGTTAGTGTCTATAGAATTCAACTTTTTAAAAAAGGGGGCGGCACTCTTTCGTATGTTTTTAAATATAGTTTGGCAGACTGCCTGACATTTCATTTTGATTATCATAAATTATGATTACTACTACCTTTATGTTGTAATTACTAGTTATAGTTTCTCAGAAGAAATGAGTAAAATAGTTTTGGTTGTCTTTTAAGACCGGTGAGGGATTTTTTTATTTCCTACGGAAGGAACAAGACTATTTTAACATCTCCCAGTAGCACCTCCCAAGCAGAACCTCACTAAATCCTTGGCAAGTTATTTTATAAAATTTCAGTACAGCATTCCAGATACACAAAGAAACGATAATACAAGAGAGACAAAGTGACATAAACGACCTTTCAGCATTGAAGATAGTCAACCACTACGTAGAGTAACCGTGAGAGGCCTCCCCTTAACTTTTAAGGAAGAAAGGAAACACAGTAATAAAAAAAAAAAAAGAAGACGAATTTGCTTAGAGCACCATACTTCTAAGTTCACCAATTATAGATTAAATTGTAGACTATTTGGGAAAAACTTTGTGTTTTAAAGGTGGCACTATCCAGTCACCAAATCAATTCCAATATGAAATGTTAAACAATTTTTTTCTTCATAAATAAATTCTAACAAATTGTGGATGTTTTGGTGAATAGGATCAGTGGATCGTGGAAGGAGGTTATGGCATAGGTACTGTCTGAAATTATACAATTCTAAATCGTACAGTAAGTACAATTCTCTTGCATTAATTGTTTTTCCAAATGGCAAAAACTGAAAGTATTCATCCTCTGAACACCACCCAAATCAACTCGTGCTGCCATGGGAAGATGATACCTAGCCATCTCATGGTCTGTACAGAACTCCCAGTTAATCAATCCTGGGCTTTCTGTAATGGAGGCTGTGGTGACCAGCAGTGTGGTGGGTGGGCTTAGGAGTCAGGAGAAATTGGGTACAGTCCAGGCAAACTAACACTCTATCTTTAGGGATTGAGCAAGTATCCTCACCAGTAAAATGAGGATGGTATTACTGTCTTATTCATAGGGCTGCTGTGAGGATTAAATAAAATCACGCATGTGAAATTCTTAGCATGGTGCCTGGCTCATAGTAAGCTCTCAATAAATGTTGGCCAATGGTATCTTCTAAGAAAACGACTCATTCTGAAAAACTCAGTCTTCCTTTGACTTCTTCTGGTCTCATTTTAAGTGTTATTCCTTTGATGATTTTTCTGACCTCCTTCCCCACCCTAACCTAGATTATGTGCTTAAATTGATGCTGTTCATTGTGGGTGAGAGCTTTGATCATACTTGCATTCTCTTTGCTTATTCAGTTCTTTGTCTTTTTGTCTGATTTCTGTGCTTTACCCAGGAGACTTTAGGCCCCATTTGAAGGAAATGGCCATGCTGTCTGGCTCCTTGATGAGTCCCAGTAGCCAGCACAAAACACAGTACACTGTAAGTGCATGGCATGTATTTCTTGAATGAATGATTTCTTGATATTGAAATTTTTTTAGCTTACTAGCTGAAGAAATCTGGTGAATAGTGCATTTAAAATACATAATTCTGTGTAGCTAAAAATGATACACAACCAAAAAACTGCAAGAAAACAAAGTGCAATGCTTGGAGAGAGGTTTAGTGAAAAGAATAAGGTGTGTGTTGGGGAGTGGGGACATAGGGTAGGGTTTTTTCTTGGATTTGACGTTGTTGGGACAAGTGGAAGAATAATCAATAATGTCTGAATCTTCACATTAACCAGAACACACAAGCATCCAACGGCTGCTTGAATCTGAGTGTCTTTGCTGTAAGTAAAATTGCCTGTGTTCTGAAGTCATGAACTTGGATAGGACCTTAGTGATCATCACGTCCTATGCTCCACTTTATAGATGAAGAAACTGAGGCCAGGAAAACGCAGTGATTCTCTACTAGTAGAGCTGGGTTAGAAGTCAGGTCTGCTGACTCCCAGACGGTGTGGGAAGGGGCATTCGTTCCTTTAAAAATAATCACTGCTGCTTTAATAACATCAGCACCTGTTGTTCCAGCTTCTGGAAGAGAGAAGCTATTAATTTCTCCTTCATCAAAGCTGAATTTCTGGTCTGTCTGAACCTTGTTTTCTTCCTGACTGCAGCTGTCTAAACCACTAAGGCCACATGTTGGACGGAGGCACTTTCCTGCTGGACTCCGATAAATCACCACACCCAAATATAGAAAGAAAAAGGGACACAGATCATCCAGACCGTGGCCGAATGTGTGACATCTTTGCGGAACTGTCTCCGTTCCACCTTGTGGCGGAGGCCTCCAGCCCCCCAGACACAGCCCCAGGCGTGTGAGTGAGCCACCAACATCGGAGCTCTTCCTGCATAGGGCCTGGGACCAACCCGGGCCGGGACATCAGCTGCTGGAAGCTGAGAGAGTTCATCTGAGTGGCGATTTCATGATCTGTAGGGTGGACAGTAATCGTAATCCCTTGAGAAGTTTGCAGAAACGAACCGAATGTTGAATGCCAAAGATCTTCACAAAGCAATTTGAGTTTCTTCCATTATTATTGTTATTTGTGTTAGCGAGGGCTGGATTGCTTAGGTTGTGTTTCCTCGCGCGCCTATTCCAGCAGGCAGACCCCGCCCACGGCCACACCTTTCTCCTCGCCCGGGTAGGAAAGTGAGGGGCTGCCCGGCCCCGGCGGGGGTTCCTGGGCGGCGGGGAGCCGCGCATCGCGCATGCGCGCCGGGGAGCGGGGCGCTGCCGGCTTCTATAAAAGCGCAGCTCAGGGCGCAGCTAGCGGAGTCGGAGCTGGCCTGGCGCCGGGCGAAGCGAAGTTGCGGGCGGCTGCAGCGCTCGGGTTCTCCCGTAGCCCGGAGGAACGAAACTTCCGTGGGAGGCTTCCATCGGTGCGCACCTCCCGAGGGCGAAGCAGCGACCGGGAGAGGGAGCTCCGGCCGGAGGCTGCCGGGCTCCTGTGGGACCGCGCTGCAGCCGGGGAGGCGGAGAAGGGGAACCCGGGCTAGCCGCCCGGCTGGATCCGCGCCCAGCAGCAGCCGCGGCCGCCGCCAGCCGGGCAGGCTCCGAGGACTGCGGCTTGGGGCGCGCCGGACCCTCGCCTCGTCCGAGACGTTCCCGGGATCTGGAGCGCTCCCTCGGCGACGTGCTGGGAGGATTGGCCGTCGGCCCCCCCGAGTGGAGCGTCGGGGCTGCACCCCTGAGGGCTGCCCGGGCGGCCCGGCCGGAGCCATGCGGACCAAGTTCGGGGCAGAGGAGGCTGAGCGCGGCCGGCTGCCTCACTTGCTGCCCGGAGTCTTGCGCGCACTGCCCGCCTTCGCTCCTTCTACCCGCCCGAGGAGTGGATAAAGGAGGGGACACGGGCCCCGATTCGCGCGCGGGACCCTGAGGCTTAAACCCTGCGGCGGAGCCCTGGCTCCAGGTCCGTGGCGGCGCGCCCAGCGGTCACCCGGCTAGAGTGAGCGTCCCTTCGGGGATGCTCAGGGAGGGTCCCGTTGCCGGTGAAGCCTCCAGAGGCTTCGGGACGACAGTCCCGGGGGCCTTCTTACTGCATCCTGAGATCTCCATCAGCGAGTGCAACTCATAAGGCAGCCCCTAAGGGGACCGGGCCACCGGCTGAGGAGGCGGATGGCTTAGGAGCTCCTGGACCTAGGGCCCGGCGTCGTCGCCTCCTGGGCGTCGCGGCAGAGGGGAGTGGCCCGCGCGGAAAGCGCCGCGGGACACTCAGCGACGAGGCCCGGGGGTCGCCGGGGCCACGACTTCTCGGAGACCGCCCTGCGCTCTCTGGAGACGCGCCGCCCGCGCCAGGGTGGTGCCATGTGGGGCGGTCGCCGCTCATCCGTCGCCTCCTCCCGGAACGCCGCTTCGCTCCTGCAGCTGCTGCTGGCCGCGCTGTTGGCGGCGGGGGCGAGGGCCAGCGGCGAGTACTGCCACGGCTGGCTGGACGCGCAGGGCGTCTGGCGCATCGGCTTCCAGTGTCCCGAGCGCTTCGACGGCGGCGACGCCACCATCTGCTGCGGCAGCTGCGCGTTGCGCTACTGCTGCTCCAGCGCCGAGGCGCGCCTGGACCAGGGCGGCTGCGACAACGACCGCCAGCAGGGCGCCGGCGAGCCTGGCAGGGCGGACAAAGACGGCCCCGACGGCTCGGCAGGTAGGGCGGCCTGCGCCCAGCGCGAAAGGGAGGACGGTTGGCGTTGCCTGGACGTCAGGGACCTGGGAGCTTGGAGGGGGAGATTCAGGGAAGGATCTGGGACCAGGAGGCGGAGTCTGCAGTCTGGCTTATTACTTGGTCGATGTGGGTCACTAATTCACCCCCACGGGCCTCAGTTTCTCCATCTGTCAGCCAAAGGGTGGCTTAGAGTGAATTTTCCGAAGAAAAGCACACTCCTAAGGCAGTGTGGGCCACAGATAGCCCCCATATTCCTTCCGACCAGGGTCCTCCGGACCCCTCTGGCGTCTGCCGTCTCCATAGGGCTCCGTGTCTTAGGGGTACCCGAGAAGACGGTGAGGGTGCGCCCCCGCCCGTGAGGGCCTGGCAGACGTCCTTCCCGGAAGGCTCCCCGAAAAGAAGGCAGCTCCTCAGAGCTTTCCCCGGGGCTGCTGCCCTGTGCCAGACCCCGCGGATTCCCATCTTCTCCACGCGGCGGCCCCTCTCCCCTGCAGCGGCCCGCCTCTGGGGTTTCTGGACTGTTTTCCTTACCACGTCAGACTTAGTAGGTGGAACATCGGAGCAGTGCCCAGCCTTGCTCTTTGTGGCTTTGATTTTTTTTTTTCTTTTTCAAATTGCCAAAGCCAGACTTGGAAAGTAAACCCGTTAAAGAATTTGGTAGGTTGCACTTCATTCTTGAGAAACCTTCCGGAATGCCTCCCTGGGGTGGTGTCTACACCAGTCTCTCTCTCTTCTCTCTTCTCTCCTCTCTCTCTCCTCTCTCCTCTCTTCTCTCTCTCTCTCTCTCTCTCTCTCTCTCTCTCTCTCTCGTTCGGGGGAGGGGAGGTAAAATGGCAAACGTATCCCCGAGGGGGCGGCTCCTCCTTTTTGTGGGCCCGTTGGGTGTACCTGGGAGACCTGGTAGCACCCGGAGCCTGGTAGCACCCGGAGCCTGGGTTCGGGCTGCCTGAGCTTTGGCACAGCGTGGTGTGTTTATAGAGCTGCCTCCCAGGACCCGGTGAGAGACAGCTCTTTTCAGTGCCCTTCCCTTTTGCGGTCAAGCATTTTATTAACATGCTACTCCCATTGTTCTGTCTTGAATCTGAAGAGCGTGTAATTCCAGAACCAGCGCAGTCTTGAAACGCAGGCTCAGCCTCGCAGACTGTGTGGCCATGGAAGACAGCCGGGAGAAGCGAGCCAGACCCCAGACAGCTACAGTCAGATGTCTGCTGAATTGGGCTCATTAATGGTTTCCAAAAAGTTGGGATGGCTTTGGACTAGTGGGGACTTCTCATGACGAGACTTATGACGCCCTGTGTTGTGTGTGGGTGCCTTCTTCACGCTACTTTTAAACGTTTTTTTTCCTAAAAATTGTATTTCTTCCACTTCTCTTCTGCAGTGAAGGACAACACGCCTAATTAAGCCTGCCGGGGGGGCTTATGGTAGCGCTGCATTCCTTACCCCTGTGTAGTTATTTACATTTCCAATTAAAAATCCTGGAAAGAGAACAGTTATTTCTCCCCAAAACTCATTATGTGGACTGAGGCTGGTTTCAGCCAGTTTCTGCTATGACTGGGGTACCTTTTTTTCCTGTTTTTCTCTTATTAATGTATTTTTTGATAACATATTTTGGGCTTGTGTCTCAATTTAGAGAATGAAATATTTATAACACGCCAAGGAGAAAGCCCAGCATCCGCTTCTCCAGTGATCCATAGTTAGCCTGAAGTGATCGTGTAATTAGAAGAGGTCTACTGCCAGGCACCAGCTGTGCTGCACACACTGTGGCAAGTGTTTCTACCTGCTAAACGGGCGCTATATATAGAAACTGCTCTGTTTAGCATTGAAACTCCAGGAAATCTTCCACAGTCAGCCTTTGGTTAAATACCTATGAAGTATTGTTTTACTTACAAAGCATTATTTCTCCATAATTCCACCTGGTGTTATACTTTTAAAACCACTGACTCCAGGAATACCAGAACAGTCAAAAGGAGCGTAATTAGAAAGCCTGGCTGCTCTCATGGATGATCAAAGGGTATTCATAGAGCTGACCTCAAAGGCGCGGGCTCCTTCCGAAAATGCTGCCCCATCTGACTGTGGGCTGGCATTATGCTTTGCCAAGACCAGTAAGACCCAATGCGTCCCTGTCCTCATGTATTTCCCAAAAATATAGTCAGGGGGATGGGGCAAGAGCACATCAGAAAATGCAGGCTGTCGGTAACATAGGGTAGAATTCCACCAAAGTGGCTCAGAGGCATTCTGCAGGCACCTCCCGTCTGATTCTACCCCATCAACCTGCATCTAGTTTCTAAAGCCTTGTAGTGCCATCCCTATGGCTCCTAAAAGATTGTTTTAAGAAACGAATTTTATTTATTTATTTATTTGAGTTGGAATCTCACTCTGTCGCCCAGGCTGGAGTACAGTGGCACAGTCTCGGCTCACTGCAACCTCTGCCTCCTAGGTCCAAGCGATTCTTCTGCCTCAGCCTCCAGAGTAGCTGGGATTACAGGTGCGCGTCACCACACCCAGCTAATTTTTGCGGTTTTAGTAGAGATGGGGTTTCACCACGTTGGCCAGGCTGGTCTTGGAACTCCTGATCTTAGGTGATCAGCACTTGGCCTCCCCAAGTGCTAGGATTACAGGCGTGAGCCACCGTGCCCCGCCAGAAACTAATTTTAAAATGGAGTTTGCTAGTGGTTTTAGCAAAAGGTTTTTATTTTTACTTTGTATTGTTTTCTATTTTAAAATCAGCTTCCCTGGTGAAGTATCATGGCCGTTGCTTTATGCCCTGAGGGCTTTCCCTGGGCACTCTTGCCTTTCTTGGCTCGCCGTGGGTGACTCTTCTTCCTGCAACACGTGTCTTGTTGCTCCTGATGTTCGCTCTTGGGACACTGTTTCAGGATGGCCCAATGCCTGGAATAACTTCCCGCCACCTCCACACAGACCCCGTCACCTGGACCCAGTGCTACCCAAGGACCCTGGCTTTTGCGAGGGAAGAGTGAGGAGGGTCTTTTTTCAGCCCCTCCTTGACCAACCTCTTGTGCCGCACAGATGCCTTTTGGAAATGGTACTGACTTAGAGTCCGGCCTACATTTTTGACTTAACTGCTGATGAAAAAAGAACTTGCTAAAGAATGGTAAAGAGAAATTTGCAAGGAACTTAACTTTCTGGGGGAAAAAAGACTTTTAAATAAGTTAAAGTCATTATTACTATGAAGATCCTACAACAATATGGTAGGGCAGACTTGTTTGGACAGTTCGATTATGGTAGGAAGTTCAGAACCATAACTGTCTTAACCTATTAAACCCATATTTTTGCTAAATTGGATATCTGGCTCAATCAGTCTTGCAGTTGATGCGTTGAACTAAATATAAACAGTTTGCTTCTAGGGGCTGAACTGCCATGCCTGTAGGGTCTCAGGATCTTTCTAAACGCTTGATAAAGAATGGTGCATCTTATGGACTCCTAATGTATGAACAGATTAGCCCAGTGTCGGCCCTTCAGCTGTGCGTATCGGTGTTGCGCATTCATTCATTGCCATTGCCAGTCGGCGATTGGACTGCATTCCCAGAGTAAATCATAATGTTGTGTTTCTGTCCTTTGCTTCAGTGCCCATCTACGTGCCGTTCCTCATCGTTGGCTCTGTGTTTGTCGCCTTTATCATCTTGGGGTCCCTGGTGGCAGCCTGTTGCTGCAGATGTCTCCGGCCTAAGCAGGATCCCCAACAGAGCCGAGCCCCAGGGGGTAACCGCTTGATGGAGACCATCCCCATGATCCCCAGTGCCAGCACCTCCCGGGGGTCATCCTCACGCCAGTCCAGCACAGCTGCCAGTTCCAGCTCCAGCGCCAACTCGGGGGCCCGGGCGCCCCCAACAAGGTCACAGACCAACTGTTGCTTGCCGGAAGGGACCATGAACAATGTGTATGTCAACATGCCCACGAATTTCTCGGTGCTGAACTGTCAGCAGGCCACCCAGATTGTGCCACATCAAGGGCAGTATCTGCATCCCCCATACGTGGGGTACACGGTGCAGCATGACTCTGTGCCCATGACTGCTGTGCCACCTTTCATGGACGGCCTGCAGCCTGGCTACAGGCAGATTCAGTCCCCCTTCCCTCACACCAACAGTGAACAGAAGATGTACCCAGCGGTGACTGTATAACGCAGAGTCACTGGCGGGTTCCTTTACTGAAGGGAGAGGAAGGCAGGGGTGGGTTCTCCAGGTGGAAGTCCGCACGTGCCGGTGGTATTTGTGGCACGGTTCCTTTGGATGACTTCATTTGCCCCCAGACTGTATGAAAACATCTCCAAATGAGCATTTCTGGATATGTGTCACCCAGGGTATCATTGATTTATGATGGGAAACTGGCCTCAGCTGGAGATGGCTGTGATGTTGCTGATGGGCGGGTAACAAATGCTTGAGTCCCAAGTGCCCTTGAGATATGGTTGGCGAAAGAATTTTATAAACTGATAAATTAAGGGTTTTTATTATGTTATTATTATTTCTTTTTTGTTGTTGAGTGCACAAGATCAAAATGCCTGTTATCTCCCTTTTACCTGGGCCTTTTTTTTTTTTTTTTTTTAGACGGAGTCTGGCTCTGTCGCCCAGACTGGAGTGCAGTGGTGCTGTCTCGGCTCACTGCAACTTCAGCCTCCTGGATTCAAGCAATTCTCCTGCCTCAGCCTCCCAAGTGGCTGGGATTACAGGTGCCTGCCCCCACGGCTAAGTTTTTGTATTTTTTGTAGAGACGGGGTTTCACCATGTTGGCTAGGCTGGTCTCACACTCCTGACCTCAAGCGATCTGCCTGTCTCAGCCTCCCAAAGTGCTGGGATTACAGGCGTGAGCCACTGCCCCCAGCCTGAGCCATTATTTAATGTTTTTATTTTTATTTTTTTAATGCATCCAAGGTTAAGGGGAAGACACAAATAACAGGACTATTCTAAAAGGAAACCTGTTTGAACTCTGTGAGATCAGTCATCAGCCTCAGTATTCCACAGGCACACCTTCATTTCATCGTAAAAAGATACACATTTTGTCTATTTTTGTGCTTTTGGGGCCTATTTTGTGCTTTTTTTACCTTGTGTAGAGATCTTATTACAAAGTGATTTTCTACGTTAAAAAGAGACTGAAATAAATTGTATAGTTACTTAACTAATGAAGACATTTCAGAACTCTGGGATGATTTTAATCTTGAAGTAGTAGGTGGTGTAGTATTAAAACCATTCACCCCCTTCTTGATTGTATCTTAATTTTCTGGCTTTAAGGTGACATCTGAGAGGTAATGCATTCTTTTTTATATTGAAATCATAAGCTATCACCCGCTGCTTCTCTGAGTTACTTTTAATTTTGCCTTGTGGTTACGGTTTGGGATTTCCTTCTGCTTGGTTTTCAGATCCCCGTGTCTATATAGTCCTGAGTGCAAGTAATTACTATACTTATACATGAGGATCAGTATTTCTGCCTAGATCTGATAAAACATTTTCTTGTTTTAGTTATAAAAATTCAAACAAAAGTGTTACAAAGATACTTAGTATAGCTCCTTAGTCATAACCTGAGACTTGGGATGAAATTTAAACCACAGAGATGGTTTACTTTGCAGATCATAAGGCTTTTTATACTCTTGTTATCAAAATGGCTTATTTTTCGGGCAATAGGGACTATTAAGTCAAGAGAAAAGCTTTTCAAAGACGTATTGCCTTTCTTCTCCCACACAGTTCTTGATTTCGTCTCTCTTTCAGGCCTCAACAGGCACTGTATTCATTGCCAAGGTTCCAAATTATCAAATTCAAGTGAATTTATTCGTGTGTTGTTTACTTATTAAAAAAAGATAACTTTAAGGATGTGCAAGATTTTGTAATTAAACAAATCGTTTTATGGTATGGTCTTCTACACATTTATATCTATAGATATCTATCGATCATCTTTCTGTTTCATGACTGAATAATGTAAAACCATTGTTGGCAACTGGTATCATCAAAGATACTCATTTTTTAATAACCAAAGGCAGGGGAAAATCATTTTACTTATTAATAAATATTTTATGATGTGAATTCCTAGGGGAGTTGGGTTTCTTTTTTCATTTTCATTGTACTTGGTAAGTTTTCAGATGGTCTAGTCAACCTGTTAATAGAACAAAATTTCTAAAAATTATGAATATTGCTTTCTAGAACCAAGAGCCTGCTTTTCAAAGTAATCAGTATCTGGGAAGCTTACGTGAATGTTCTGTGAGTCAGTGAGTATTATTTTACAGGTTTCATGGGAAATGTTGACAACACAAAAGAAACAGTTCTTTTGGAATCATTATATTATGAGGCTAATGGGTGTTCCCTGCATTGTGTTTGATGGCAGATTCCTGCTTATCTCTGGAAGTGAAATTCTTAGAACTTTGGAACTGAAAGGGACCTCAGATATCACCCAGCCTAAAGATTGGCAAGCTTTTTTTTTTTTTTTCAGTAAAAATCAGAGACTGGCTGGGCTCATGGCTCACCCCTGTAATGCCAGCACTTTGGGAGGCCAAGGCAGGAGGATCGCTGGAGACCGGGAGTTCCAGACAAGCCTGGGCAACATAGCGAGACCCCATCTCTACAAAAAAAGAAAAAATAAATAAAAATTAGCTGGGAGTGGTGGCGTACTTGGTAGTATCAGTGATTTGGGAGGTTGAGGCAGGAGGATCACTTGCAAGCTCAGGAGTTTGAGGCTGCAGTGAGCTGTGATTTCACTACTACATTCCAGCCTGGGTGACAGTGAAAACCTGTCTCAAAAAAATAAGAAAAAAAGATCCTGAGAGTAAATACTTTAGGTTTTGCCAGCCATATGGGATCTAGCAGCTATTCAGCTCTGCAGTAGCACACAAAAGCAGCCATAGATATACATAAACAAATGAGCGAATCTATATGCTCATAAAACCTTCTTTTTTTTTTTTTGAGACAGAGTCTCACTCTGTTGCCCTGGCTGGAGTGCAGTGGCGCAATCTTGGCTCTCCGCAAGCTCTGCCTGCTGGGTTCACGCCATTCTCCTGCCTCAGCCTCCCAAGTAACTGGGACCATAGGCACCCGCCACCATGCCCGGCTAATTTTTTGTGTTTTTAGTAGAGACAAGGTTTAACCGTGTTAGCCAAGATGGTCTCGATCTCTTGACCTCGTGATCTGCCTGCCTCGGACTCCCAAAGTGTTGGGATTACAGGCGTGAGCCACCGCGCCTGGCCAGAACCTTCTTCATATGCACTGAAATTCAAATTTAACATGATTTTGACATGTCACAAAATAATCTTCAATTTTTTCCCCAAAACATTTCAAAACGTAATTGTAAGCTCCAGTGCTGTACAAAAGCAGGCAGTGGGCAGGATTTCCCTGGCAGGCTATAGTTTGTCAGTCCCTCATCTAATCCTCCCTTCCCCTATGCAGGGGCCACCTCTGTGACATTTTTGGCACTCTTTTTTAAACAGAGGGATGGAAAATGCTTGCTTTTCTTAGCATGAGATTGTATAGTTCTTCTTTTTCTATGTGGTAATTAAATACACCTTAATGAATGAATTTTTCATTTAGTGAATGCTACTTGGTTTTCCAAAAGTATAACATTATTAGAAGCAACCTCAGATCTTTTCGGTTTTGGTAAGAACTGGAAAAATTTAGCTGACAAAGCAAAAATGTTCCACTACCTGATTCAAGGACACCTTCCTTGTCATGAAATATAAATCAGAACCTATAAAGGGTAATTTGCACCCTGCAGAAATATTCTAAGTTCTCTCATTTACAGATAGAAAAATAGTTTGCTGCTGTACATTTTCTGCTGTATCTAAACCTCTAGTGTCGGTTTATGATAGTTCTAGGGGATTCTATATCCCTGCTTATAGGACAGAGAATCAGACTCTGACTGCAAGGAAGAAGAAATTAGCATATTGTGTCTATGAAGAGCGTGAAAACTGCACATCTGTCATTGCTGCTGCCACTGGAGAAGTTAAGATTTAGCAATAAGATCAACATCCAAAGTGGCAAAAATACCATTAAGTGTGTTTTGGTTTCGCGTATATCCTCTGCAACACGCACTTTCACGTAGCCTTCCATTTCTGATTACGTTCTCATAAGCTTGACTAATGAAATATTTCATCTATTAAATTTACCTTGAGCTCATTCTTTTAAGATTGCACAGTTTTATTTCACAAACTCTGTAACCCATATTTTCTCCTTTCAAAACGTAATTGTAAGCTCCAGTGCTGTACAAAAGCAGGCAGTGGGCAGGATTTCCCTGGCAGGCTATAGTTTGTCAGTCCCTCATCTAATCCTCCCTTCCCCTATGCAGGGGCCACCTCTGTGACATTTTTGGCACTCTTTTTTAAACAGAGGGATGGAAAATGCTTGCTTTTCTTAGCATGAGATTGTATAGTTCTTCTTTTTCTATGTGGTAATTAAATACACCTTAATGAATGAATTTTTCATTTAGTGAATGCTACTTGGTTTTCCAAAAGTATAACATTATTAGAAGCAACCTCAGATCTTTTCGGTTTTGGTAAGAACTGGAAAAATTTAGCTGACAAAGCAAAAATGTTCCACTACCTGATT